AAGTCATCTATCTATTGCTTGCATTTTTTTCAACTCTTTCTCCTTCTCTTTCTTTCTCTCTCCCTTTCTCTTTCATTGTACCTGTGTTTTATGAACAATATATGGGTACAGCCAAGAGTAGTAATAGTAGGAATAGTGACGACCATTGCTGTAACAGCCATAGTATTTGACAGTAGTAACTATATTATACAGTATTACCGTAATAACCACAGTATATGACAGTAGTAACCATATTATACAGTATTACCGTAATTACCACAGTATATGACAGTAGTAACCATATTATACAGTATTACCGTAATAACCACAGTATATGACTGTAGTAACCATATTACACAGTATTACCGTAATAACCACAGTATATGACTGTAGTAACCATAGTATACAGCATTATCGTAGTAACCATAATAACTACAGTACTTCAGAACAGAAAAAGTAACAATTCTGCATACCTCTAAGGGAGTGTAATACCAAGGTAGCTGAAAACCATAGAATATAATCAGTAGAATGGGCATAGAACCTCTGACCATAGCAATTTGACATTATTGCTCCATTGACTTCAATAGGGATGTCCATTCTAGTAATTATATTTCTATGCAGAAAACACAAAGGGGTAAACATCACGCCAGAATACAAGGCAAACTAACACTGAGTTTTGTCAAAGTTTTTTTTTTTTTATAGTTCCATTCACTAAATATTTAAAACAAGCGTCACTTGACTATTTATTAATAACGTGTTCATTTACATCGTTTTTTTCCATATTTTCATTGTCTTTATAGGTTGTTGTGGTTGTTGTTGTTGTTGTTCTGGTTTCCTGAATGACCAATATAACAAAAAGAGCATCCAGATAGTAATCTGGAGTCGTTGTGTCTCTGTGTTGTTGCTGGAGGGACAGAGCAGTGGTCTTATAGGGTGTGCTCCCTCTCTTCGTCCATAGGGGGAGCTCTATCTTAATAGCACCAGGGTTTGCACAGCCCCAATGTAATGATTCTGGAAAAGTGTGGTGAAAGGAGGATGGGTTAAGATCAGTGTTCACAGTCTGAGTGGGTCCAGAGTCCACGATCCTTTCCTTTAGGTACACATCCAGACATTCACACACACTGTCCCCTTTCACTCTGTTTCTGTGTGTTCTTTCACACAATCCACCCTCCAGTTTTCCTTGTAACATGGATGGTTGGTCTGGATATATGGACAGATGCAGAACGTAGCGGAAGGATAAAAAAAAACAAGTTTGTATTTCTGACAGAGAGGGGTGGATTGAAAGAGGAATTTGAACGTAGCGCTCTTGAACACAACACCAACGCGGCATCCTTTTTTTCCTTCCTAGCAATCATTGACATTCAGGCTGTGTCGTCTGTGAACGTGAAGCTCCGATGCATAGAAAGAATGGGAGCGGTAAGGAGGGAGGGATGAGGGGAGGAGGGGGCTGCACTATGGGCATAGAGACAGATGGAGCATGTGTTCCATCCAGGAGGAGGACAAGAAGAGAGGGAGAGTGGAGGACAGGAAAAGGCTGCAGCATCACCACTGCACAAAAAATTGACAGTTTGAGAAAAAACATGTGGAGAGGGCAAAAAGAAGAGGGTGATGCATCCTTATCCTTTTTTTTTTTCATTTTTCAATATGGCAGATGGATGGTTAGCTGTATTCCTGGACTGTCTCTGTGTGTTTTGGGATGGCTGTTAGAAAAGTGGGTTCTAATCACAGTTCTGGAATCCCCTCAGTTCCAGAATCCCCTCTCAGTTCCAAAACGTCTCAGAGAACTCCAAAGAGTACAGCCACATGATTCAGACCACTTAATCCTCTCCTTAGGGCGGATTAATGAACCCCTTGTCTCCACACACACACACACACACACACACACACACACACACACGCACACGCACACGCACACGCACACAAAAGTCAGCCCAGGTCTGTTTATGGCAGTCCTTTGGTCCTAACAGAAACCAGTCTAAATCCTCTATAATAAACCCAACCCTGTATCATACTCTCTGTTAAGAAAGATCCACAGGGTTCAATTCTGTGCCCTCCATCTTTCACACCTCGCCTGCTGTGTTTGGTTATCATTTCCTGTATACACACACACACACACGCAAGCACACACACACATACACTCTGGCGGCAGTGTGGGGGAGATCCGTGGGTAAAGGGTTCGTGGGCTTGTGTTCCATGGCGTTGCTCCTTCAGTTCAGTTGGTTTGATCCTGTTGTGTGCTGTGAGGTGTATCACATAGTCGCCTACTACTGTTAGTACTACTGTAGTACTATTGTACTACTACTGTTAGTACTACTGTAAGTACTACTGTATTACTACTCTTAGTACTACTGGAGTACTACTGTACTACTACTGTTAGTACTACTGGAGTACGATTGTAATACTACTGTTAGTAGTACTGGAGTACTATTGTACTACTACTGTTAGTACTACTGTAGTACTATTGTAATGCTACTGTTAGCACTACTATAGTACTATTGTACTACTACTGATAGTACTACTGTAGTACTATTGTACTACTACTGTTAGTACTACTGTAGTACTATTGTACTGCTACTGTTAGTAGTACTACTATACACTGTGGCTCTCCATAGTCACTTAGAACAGTTCAAGCGGATATATTTCAGTTTATACGGTAGGTATGTATATCTTTGTACAGGTTAAATACAATCCGAGAAAACATTTATATGGCCTTCTATCTCGTATGAAAAGATAAACATAAACAAACAAATAACAAGGATGACACGTGTTGTTGTGTCCTCTGTATGCAGTCATCAAAGTGCTTTGATTCAAACATAAAGGGGCGGGGCTTGGTACCATGTCTAACTGTCAATCTTCCCGTGGAATGTTTTCGATTTGAACCGCTTTCATTTTTAGTGTGAGGGACAGAAAATACAACATACACTCACACCATGTCTTCAAAAGACCAATGTGGCATCTGTCACCATCAAGCATAGGACTGTGATGTATCCAGTCTATTCAGTAGGCCTGTAATCTGTCTGTTTAGAAATTGATGTTGATGATTGTTTGGTTTTTGGATGGACCATATATGGTATATAGTGGTGGTGTTTCCATGGATATTTCAGATTCATTCATTTCCACAAAGATCATTGAGTCATACAGTCAGACTCCCAGATCGGCTGTTATCCAATCTTTCCTTCATTCCCTAGTATAGTATTCACACAATGACCCTGTATATCCGCTCTCTCTGGCTCTCTCTCTCTCTCATACACGACTCCACTACCAGTCACACTGCAAAGTAAAAACACGAGCGAAATAATGTGTTGAAGTACGAAATTATAACTCCTCCTTTGCTCCTTTAGACTGAAGGAGACCTCCAAAAAGAATACCCCTTATTATGGAATGGACGGTGTTAAAAACGAAACTCCTTTGATGACCATTGTGAATATCGTGTCCAACCATTGGGCGGTTAATAAACGCTCATGAAAGGTCAATCAGTGGTTGAGTGGTCTGGTTGGACGTTCCTTCTTCCATCAATAGTCCGATCGAAAAGTGGTTAACGATATTCAACCTCTACTTTCCCAGGAGATCTCTTGGTCTTGGTAAGGCTACAGTAAGTATGCGAGAGAGAGAGAGGATGACCTGGGACAAGTGGTTTAAAAACATGAAATGGTTCAGATTGACTCATTGGTCCTGAGGCAGTCTGGTTCCATTATTCCCTGTGGTCATATCGCCTCCTCCATCTGCCGACGTCGAGAATTCTGTGACACGTCGCGCGAGGGGGTTTGTGCTCTTGAGGAGTTCCATGGCAGAGACGCGGGCCCCTCCCGTGCTGGACTTGCTGCCCTTCTTTTGGAGCAGGGCCATAAAGTTGTCGTTCCGTGAGGTGGAGCGTGGGGTCGAGCCCAGGGTCAGGGTTCGGAGGTCACCACCACTGGTGCTGTGCTTCACTGGGGAGACCAGACTCTGGCGGCTGCCGAACGAGTCCCCTGGTTCCTTACGGCCCAGGACTTTCCTCTTTGACCTGGAGGGAGGAGAGAAGAGGAGAAAAGAGGAGAGAAGATGTTAAATGCATTATTATTATTTATTTTTTTATAAATATGTGTGTGAGTTAGCGTAACTGTCCTCGGTTGAGTGTGTGTGTTTGTGTGTGTGTGGTGTTTGGTTTTACTATCATTGTGGGGAACAGAAGTCCTGAGAAGGATAGTAGAACAAGTAACATTCGGACAAGTGGGGACATTTCACCGGTCCCCACAAGGAAAAAGGCTTTTTAGGCTTAGGGGTTAGGTTTAGGGTTGCAATTAATGTTAGAATTAGGGTTAGGGGTTATATTTAGGAGTTAGGATTACGTTTAGTTTTAGGGTTAGGGTTAAGGTTAGCTTAAGGCTTAGGGAAAATATATTTTTTAATGGAAATCAATTGTTTGGTCCCCATAAGGATAGTAAAACAAATGTGTGTGTGTGTGTGTGTGTGTGTGCATGTGTGTGTGCATGTGTGCATGCGTGTGTGTGCGTTTGTGCGTGTGTGTGTGTGTGTGCGTGTGTATTGGCATACCTGTGTATTTTGGTGAACAGGTCCTCTGTGGTGTGCGTGGGAGGTGTGTGTCCTCTGACATCATCATCCATTTCCTCGGTGATGTGGAGTTCTGTCTTGTCACTAATGACCGAACTGCTCTCCTCAACACTCTCCGCATCATCACCTGGAAACAATATGATTGGTCAGTTACTCTCTAACGACAAGAAACATTTATATCAATGAATATCAATCAATAAATGAAGAAAACAATTAACAATGACCAATCCAAAAAATATTGGTATATATATTTTTCAATTGCAATGGTAACATCAACTACAATTGAAGTGAAACTGGAAAGGAAGTTTTACACTGTAATACTTTCACTCCTGACAGGATCTGAATTCCAGCTAAATAGATTTAAATGTATTAATTCTCCATCATAACATTGTAAACATACCTCTGCCTGTCTCTGTAATGTTGAGCCTCCCCTCCACAACTGTAAGAGAAGAGTCCTGTAATGAAGACTGTAATGAAGACTCCATGGAGCTTTCCTCATCCGTTCCCATTCCCAGGTAGTTTTCCTGGTTTTCCTCTTTCCCAGGAATCTCTTCTGGTGGGAACACTCCAACGGGAGACCGGAGAGCTACCGGGCTGTCTGTCTGTGTTCCCGGTCTGTCGGTGGTACCGTTGGAGTGCACCGTGGTGGAGTTGGGGAGGAGCAGGACGTTGGGCTTCTTTGGAACCGGCGGAGGAACCTTGGGGAGAGATTTGTTATTAGTAGAGAGTGTACATGATAACCAAAGGACAATGTGCTTTATAGCAAGTAAATACATACAGACAACATACTGTATAGTAAGAGAGAGAGAGAGAGAGAGAGAGAAGAGGGAGAGAGAGAGAAGAAGAAGAGAGAAGAGTAGAGATAGAGAGAAATCCCCAATAAAATTTAGGAAAAAGTTTTGCCAATGCTATTTAAAGGTGTTTTATCTCGGACTTTCGCTTTTCCCCTAGAGAAATTTTAAAAATATAAACGCCAGGGGAAAAGAGATCAAAATCAAAAACTAGATATATATTAGATATCGTAGGATGGATATCAATAATATCTCTAGCTGCTCTATTTCTTCCTCTCCTCCCTCTCTCCTCCTCCTCTCTCTCTCTCTCTATCCCTCCTCTCTCTCTCTCTCCCCCTCCTTTTCTTTCCCTCTCTCTCCCCTCTCTCTCCTCTCTCTCTCCTCTCCTCCCCTCTCTCTTCTTCCTTCCTCGTTTCCTCTCCTCTCTCTCCTCCTCCATCCCCCTTCTCGCCTCTGCTTTTCTCTCAACCCTTTACTCCTCTTCATATCTTATACACTCTCTCCTCTCTATCTTCCTATTTCCTACTCGCTAGAGCTGACGGAGTTAGCTCTGACCTTAGATGAATTCTCGAGATTATACCTCTATGCCTTATCAAGAAGCTATATATCAGCTTATAAGAGGACATCAGAGAAGATATAGAATAGAGAGAGAGAGATACATAGAGGCATATGATCATATTTTATATGAGATGCTTTCATATTATATTCTACTCCTCTCTCTGCTCTTTCGCGATAGTCTATTCTCTCTCTCTCTTCTCTCTCTCTTCTTCTCGCTCTCTCCTCTTCAGATCAGATGAGACGAAATACAAACAGAGGCAATTGACTGACTGACTAACTGACCACAGAACAAAAACATCGCATTCATTGAACCATATCCCAGTCAGCTGGCCTACCTTGGGTTTTTTCTTGTCCAATTCAGCGAGACAGGATATGGTCATCCTGCTAGGTAGAGACTTGCTCTTATCCTGAGTCTCCAGCACTTCCTGGTTACTGCAGGGAGAGGGGAGTGACCCTCCATCCTCAGGCCCAAGACAGAGCTCCAAGTCAGGGTCGAACTCCGGCTCCATGGTGGGGTCCTCCAGGAGGGGCTGGGGCAGGGGGAGAGGAGGCAGATCGTACAGGGACTGGGTGTGGTGGAAGGAGGGGAGATCGTAGAGGCCCTGGGGATAGTGGAGGGGGAAAGTTTGGGGTTGTTCCTGGGGTCCACAGGGGCTGGTAGGGGTGTGAGGGAAGGCTTTCTTCAGCTTGGGCTTCCTACCTACCACCATGTAGATGCTGGGGTTAGGCATGGGCCGGGGGGGGTCAACAGGGGAGGCAGGGGGGGAGTCGGAGGCAACGGGGGAGGAGGAGGGGGACTTGAGGAGGATGTTGAGGGGGCGTTTGGGTAATGAGGGCTTGATGGCCACGGGGGGTTTGGGTTTGGGGGCGACGAGGGGGCCGGGGGTGCCACCAGGGGTTACGGGCGGGGGGGAAAGGTCGCGACCCTGCTCCTCCTCGATGATGTCATTAGAGGCTCCATCGGGGCAGACCTCCAGGTCAGTACGGGAGACAGAACGCAGGCGGATGTTCCAAAGTTCATTTGTGGTCACCACTGGGAGAGCTGATTGGCTGCCGGCACTCAGTTTACCGGGCTTAGCGGCGGTGGAAGTGTCAGAATGGCGCCGGCTGGCCTTCTGTTTCGGTTTGATGGAGGACAAATCCAGATGAGCGTTAACCGGCATCTCGAAGGACAGCCTCGACCGGGCGGCAGGGTCCCGTGGAGATGTCGCTGGCAAGGAAGACTTCCTTTCTGGGATTTTGGGGCGCATCTTACACCCCAACGTGGAGGCGGGCCCTGTTGGTGTTCCTGCCACCTGATTGGAGGGGGTGTTGGGCGTCGGAGTTTCTGATTGGCTAGAGTAGCCGCTGGAGGGGGACATGAGTCCTGGTGGTTTGAAGGGGGAGGAAGCTTTGGTCGACTCTGTCTCAATGGAGAGCAGGGAGGGGGAGGTGGCTCTAGAAGTGGAGGGGGAGTCCAGGAGAGACTCGGAGCTGCCACGAACCTTAGATTAGATCAAATTAGATGAGATTAAATGTATTAGACATGAATGGTTAAAAACATGAAAATCATCTTCCTGGTCGTACAGTTGAAGTCGGAAGTTTACATACACTTAGTCATTAAAACTCGTTTTTCATCCACTCCACACATTTCTTGTTAACAAACTATAGTTTGTTAACATCTACCTTGTGCACGACACAAGTAATATTTAGATTACATTATTTCACTTATAATTCACTGTATCACAATTCCAGTTGGTCAGAAGTTTACATACACTAAGTTGACTGTGCCTTTAAATAGCTTGGAAAATTCCAGAAAATGATGTCATGGCTTTAGAAGCTTCTGATAGGCTAATTGACATCATTTGAGTCAATTGGAGGTGTACCTGTGGATGTATTTCAAGGCCTACCTTCAAACTCAGTGCCTCTTTGCTTGACATCATGGGAAAATCAAAAGAAATCAGCCAAGACCTCAGAAATTTTTTTTCGACCTCCACAAGTCTGGTTCATCCTTGGGAGCAATTTCCAAATGCCTGAAGGTACCACGTTCATCTGAACAAACAATAGTACGCAAGTATAAACACCATGGGACCACGCAGCTGTCATATCGCTCAGGAAGGAGACGCGTTATGTCTCCTAGAGATGAACATACTTTGGTGTGAAAAGTACAAATCAATCCCAGAACAACAGCAAATGACCTTGTGAAGATGCTGGAGGAAACAGGTACAAAAGTATCTATATCCACAGTAAAAACAAGTCCTATATCGACATAACCTGAAAGGCCGCTCAGCAAGGAAGAAGCCACTGCTCCAAAACCGCCATAAAAAAGCCAGACTATGGCTTTCAACTGCACATGGGGACAAAGATCATACTTTTTGGAGAAATGTCCTCTGGTCTGATGAAACAAAAATAGAACTGTTTGGCCATAATTACCATCGTTATGTTTGGAGGAAAAAGGGGGTTACTTGCAAGCCGAAGAACACCATCCAAACCGTGAAGCACAGGGTGGCAGCATCATGCTGTGGGGGTGCTTTGCTGCAGGAGGGACTGGTGCACTTCACAAAATAGATGGCATCATGAGGAAGGAAAATTATGTGGATATATTGAAGCAACATCTCAAGACATCAGTCAGGAAGTTAAAGCTTGGTCGCAAATGGGTCTTCCAAATGGACAATGACCCCAAGCATACTTCCAAAGTTGTGGCAAAATGGCTTAAGGACAACAAAGTCAAGGTATTGGAGTGGCCATCACAAAGCCCTGACCTCAATCCTACAGAACATTTGTGGGCAGAACTGAAAAAGTGTGTGCGAGCAAGGAGGCCTACAAACCTGACTCAGTTACACCAGCTCTGTCAGGAGGAATGGGCCAAAATTCACCCAACTTATCGTGGGAAGCTTGTGGAAGGCTACCCGAAACGTTTGACCCAAGTTAAACAATTTAAAGGCAATGCTACCAAATACTAATTGAGTGTATGTAAACTTCTGACCCACTGGGAATGTGATGAAAGAAATACAAGCTGAAATAAATAATTCTCTCTACTATTATTCTGACATTTCACATTCTTAAAATAAAGTGGTCATCCTAACTGACCTAAAACAGGGAATTTTCACTAGGATTAAATGTCAGGAATTGTGAAAAACTGAGTTCAAATGTATTTGGCTAAGGTGTATGTAAACTTCCCGACTTCAACTGTACATCAGAAAAAAACATACATTAAACCAGGGCTGCCCAACCCTCTTTCTAGAGATCTAGTGCCAGTAGGTTCAGTCCACTTATTAGCTGCTCACCTTAACTAGATTAATCATGTATGTTAGGGTAGGGTTGGACTGAAAACCTACAGGACTGCAGATCTCCAGGAAGAGGGTTGGGCAGCCCTGCATTACACAGTACATACAGTAAAATACCAAAAACCTGTGACTAAGGGAAGTGCTAATGGCCCTATTCACACTTGAGATAAGTAGACTTAACATGGACTTAAGTCCAAATTTGACTTCATGTTCATGTTAGTCAACTTATCTCAAGTCTGAATAGGGCCCTTAGTGTATAGGAGACTCTCTTACCTTCATGCACTCTATAACAGTAGTCCCTGTGGCTGTACTAGACCCAGACAATGACCTGTAGGGGTCAGAAGCCTTCCACTCCTCCAGCTGCCAGTGGGCTGGGAAGGACAGCTCTGTTGTGTCTGGTCCCTGGACCTCCAGGCTAGGGGGTCCATCCACGTGGCCCAGCTCAGGCATCTCCAGATCAGGCTTGGAGAGGGAGGAGGAGGAGGGTAGGAGGAAGTCTGTCTGGAAGTCCTGGAGGTGGTCCCGGGGGATGTGGAGGGATTTGGGGCGGCCGTCCCGGTAGTGACCTCCGTTGTGGCCATGCACGCGCCCCTCGGCATCCCCTAAGTTCTTCATGAGCGAGACACTCCGGACGGGCGGAGGGGGTTTGCGTTTGGACTTCTTCAGTGAGATGGAGCGAGAACGTAACCTTAGGCGACCGTCTGGGGGGAAGTTGCTGTCAGTTACGGAGATATTGTCGATGCTGGCGCTCCCATCCTCGGAGCTCCCACTGGGGTAGAGGAGGGCGTAGCTCTCGCCCCTCTCACCCCCCTCGCCGCGAGGGTAATGGTGGTGGTGCATCGCTGTTAAAACGCTGCCGCCGTTCCCGTTTGTCCCGTTACCGGCTCCAGGTAGTCCGCCGACGCCATACATCCCGCCGCAGACGTTATCCGCGGAGCAGAACGAGCCGGAATCCGTCGGCGTGGAAAGAGAACGCTCACGGAACTTAAATGCATTGGCGGCAGCGACAGAACGTGCCGATCTCTCCCTCCTCTCTCCTCCTCCCATCCCTCTCTCCGAACCACTCTGTTCGTCAGTGGGGCTAGCCGCCGCCCCCTCTGTCTCGCTCCGCCTCCCCATCATCATCCCTATGGTGCCTGGGTGCCTGTGTCCGGAAGGTTCCGATATTGACGTGAACGAACTAGAGTGAGACTGCGACCCTGAGCTCACGGAGAGTCCCGAACTGGTCTGAGAGGGGCACATCAACCCCCCACCCTGCCCCCCAACCATCCCCACCATCCTTACCCCCTTGGGCATGGTCGCAGGTCCCTTCCCCAGCGGACTTGGAGCTATACTATAACTATAGGCCTCGTTCCAGGCTCCTGGGGAGAAGGTGGAGCCCTTGGGGCCGTTCCAGGACTGAGAGGGGGAGTTGGAGCAGAGGAGGGCGGCAGAGTGGTCCATGGTGCCCAGGGTAGGAGGTGGGGTCCTGGGGGACTGGGGAAGGCTGGGGTCCAGGTCACTATGGGTCTTCCTCAGGGGTATGTGCTGGACAGGGGTGTCTGTGACAGGCTCCAGAGACCGGGGCTGGCCTCCTCCACCACAGCCCAGGGACGGAGAGGGGGAACAGGGGGAACACGATCCCTGGAGGAGGTCTACACCCAAGAGTTTACCCTCACCTAGGGAGAGAGAGAGGAAGAGACTATTGAGTTACTCATGGACAAAAAGAGAGGTTGTCTCATTGATAATGAGGAAGCATTCTGACTCACTTAACATCAGAATAATGTTTTCCTGCGCTTGCCTACATTAAGAATGAAACTTTATTTGAAGTTTCGGAGACATCTCCTGAGAAAAGACCTTGGGTAACTCATTACCTTCTACACAGTCAGCTCAGGTCTGGTCTGTTTCTTTACATTTATTCATTCATGAAAATAGTGCGAGGAGGAGAAAAACAACTCTCTCTCTCTCTATACGTCACTCTACCACTTTCTCTCCTTCCCTCTTTTCTCTCTCTCTCTTTCCCTGTTCCGCCATCTCTCTTTTTCTCTCTTTTTCTCTCTTTCCCTCTCTCCCTCTGCAGTTTTTTCGGATAGAGGAGTGGAGTGAAGGAAGGAAGAGCTGGGTGTTGCCATGGCAACAGCTACCTGTTCTGTCATTGGGGCAATGGTAATGGTGAGATGATGAGAGAGCGAGAGAGAGAGGGAGAGAGAGAGAGGGTGCAGCAGAAAACACACATGGGTACAGTGCATCTAACTGGAAATCAGGTGCCCACCTAAAATACACAACGCACCTAACCTTACCAAGCTAGTCTCAACACACCTAACTCAGAGGCACACATACACTACTGCACTGACACTGTATTGCACAGGCAGAGAAAGGGAGAAAGATGACACGTGGTTTGATACAGTGACAAACCGAGAGAGAGATGCAGGGAGAATGATGGAGCGAGAGAGAGAGAGAGAGAGAGCGAGAGAGAGAGAGAGAGAGAGAGAGAGAGAGAGAGAGAGAGAGAGAGAGAGAGAGAGAGAGAGAGAAAGAATGATAGAGAATGATAGAGTTGAAGAGATTCTGGGAAAATGAGAGCGAGGGGAGAATAAAAGATAGATTGAGAGAGAGAGAGTCCTGAAAGAGAGTGAGATACTCTACTGTAGATGGATGAGAATTAAGAGGAGAGGGAGGATGGGAAAGGAGGGGGAGAGAAGGGGAGAGGCGTCCAATGACAAAGCAGTTGCTATGCCAAAACCAGGAGGAGGTTTGGAGGGTGAGTGTCAGAATGCTGCAGCTATGATGACCAGAGCGTACTACCAAAAACACACACTACACACACACACACACTACACATGCACGCACTCGCACACACACACACACAAAACCTAAATAGATGACCGAAAATAGAGTAGATAGAATGTAACCAAATAGATAGGATAAACAACTTAGATTCTGTACGCAGTGATGCTTACACACAAACACATTCACACACACTACCCACACCCATCTCCTGCCTTCCCCATCTCCATCCCTTACCTGTGACGTCCAGGGGTAGCAGGTGAGCGGGGGTGCGTCGTCCCAGGTGCCAACGGGGTTTCTCGGCCACGGGGGGTCCCAGGGAGGTGCTGCTCCACCCCACTAGAGGGCGATCTGACCCACAGGGGGACGGGGAGGGAGAGTGGGACAGGTCTGTACCCCTACTGATACTCACTGAGGAGGTCTCATCCTCCTCACACACCTGCCCCTTAGACGCCGGCTGAAGGAGAGAGGAGGAGGGAGGAGAGGGTATAGGTGAGAGAGGAGTGATGGGAAGGAAGGAGTTGCACTTAGATTCATAGACTAGAGAATATTTGTGCTGTGAAGTTTCAGATTCACATGAAACTCTCATTTTCTGTTTGAAATCAAGTAGTCAACTTCAATCATGTAGCAATGGAGAAATGTATTTCCATTATCAAACAATATGCTACCATGTCCAAATACATAGTACCCAGCACCTAAAAATCAGCTGTAGAACATTTGTACAAGAACTACAATACAGGTCAGTAAAGGTAAATTAAAGTGCAAATTAAATCAAATAAAGGTGTTTATATTTGCCAGGAAGATGAACTCCGGTCTCTTGATGTTGAGGGAGACAGGGGAGCGACTGAGGGTGGTGGACGTGTCGTCAGAACTCTGGGAGGACGCTGTTGGGTGGCGGAAGGTCTGGCCTGTTAGCTTGGTGTCATACAGCTGCTCTTCAAAGTCTGGTAGAAACACATACACATACACACATGAATGGTGTTAAGACACACATTGTGTCAGACATACACACACACACACAGACAGTTACACACATGCACGCACACACACAGCAACAGACACGGGCACGCACATAAACACACACACATACACACACAAGACACAACAACCTCAGAGTTAGTCAAGTTGCAGAACATCCATCCCGTTAGCTGCTTCTTGAAGTCTGCTTGGAGCAGTTAGCCACATGCAAGGAGTGGAGGCTTGGAGGAGTGGAGATCTAACACAAGAGAACAAAATGTGGAGTCCACCTCTTGCATTGATTCTTTAGCACTCACTGATTCACTCCTCTCTCCCGTTTCCCTCTATTTTTCTTGCACTCTCTTTGGGAATGTTTCTCTCCACCTCCTCTCTCTACCTTCTCCTGCCTCTCTCTCTTTCTTTCTTGTCCCTTGTTGCTCCCTCGCTGTCTTGCCCTGCTTCTCTCTCTGTCTCTCTCTTCCCCTGCTTCTCTCTCTATCTCTCTGTCCTCCTCTCCTCCCGTTTCTCTAGAAGCTGCAGGACTCCACCTCAGGCCATTGTAAACATACTGATTATCATTCCACAACCCACCCCCCTTAAAAGTCCCCAAACACAACCCCCTAGCCATTCATTTGGCCCAAAACACACTCCTCCACTCCCCAACCCCTCTCCACTCATCCCAGCAGCCCCATATCCCTCCACACACACACACACAGATCCACGTATGCGAGCACACACACATATCACCCCAAGCCCTGTCCCGCCCCCAAACTCCTTCAGACAATATTTGGGGAGTGGGGGGGGGGGGGGGGGGGGGGGGGGGTGAGTGAACTTGCTCTCTGGGACAATATAGATGCCTTCCTCCTGGTGTAGGGTTGCCTAGCAATGCCAGTCGCCTGGAAATAATGGAATACCACTTGAATCAACAATGGCCCCCAGCAAATCCCCCTTAAGGGAAGAGGGAAGACCTGCCCACTGATTATAGTTGCGACAAAATGACCACCTTACTGGGAGCCTGTGGTTGTCAGGTCTGGTTCTGGTTAGGCTATAGCAAAACAGATCTGGCAACTTGGACATCTTGCTTCTTACTAAAAAATACTTTACTTATAGATTTTCAATTATGAGGACAAGAGACAGTAACATAAAATGTAACATCCCCAGTTAACTTAGGACTCCTCAAGATGAACTGATTATAACCTTACAGTGAATGTGGAATGAAAGAGAGTACCAGCAACAACTTCTTTATGACTTTGTTGATTGCATTGCCTCACTTGTTTTGCTGTATTTGCTGCACTGTCATGAAATCAAATCAAATACAATTTTATTGTCACATGTGCCGAATACTACAGGTGTAGAACTTACCGTGAAATGCTGACTTACAAGCCCTTATCCAACAATGCAGTTTAAAGAAGAATAAGAGTTGAGAAAAAATATTTACTAAATAAACTAAAGTAAAAAATGAAAGAACAACAATAAAGAGGCTATATACAGGGATACCGGTACCGAGTCAATATGCGGGGTACAGGTTAGTCCAGGTAATTTAGGTAATATGTACATGTAGGTAGGGGTAAAGTGACTATGCATTAGGCAGTCTTATGGCTTGGGGGTAGAAGCTGTTCAGAAGCCATTTGGACCTAGAATTGGCGATCCGGTACTGCTTGCCGTGCAGTAGCAGCGAGAAAAGTCTATGACTAGGGTGGCTGGAGTCTTTGGAAATTTTGAGGGCCTTCCTCTGACACCGCCTGGTATAGAGGTCTTGGATGGCAGGATACTTGGCCGCAGTGATGTACTGGGCCGTACCACTGTTGTGTCGTCAGCAAACTTAATGATGGTGTTGATGTCGTGCTTTGCCACGCAGTCATCGGTGAACAGGGAGTACAGAAGGGGACTAAGCACACATACCTGAGGGGCACCCATGTTGAGGATCAGCGTGGCATATGTGTTGTTGCCTACCCTTACCACCTGGGGGCGGCCCATCAGGAAGTCCAGGATCCAGTTGCAGAGGGAGGTGTTTAGTCCCAGGGTCCTTAGATTAGTGATGAGCTTTGAGGGCACTATGGCATTGAATGCTGAGCTGTAGTCAATGAACAGCATTCTCACGTAGGTGTTCCTTTTGTCCAATTGGGAAAGGGCAGTGTTGAGTGCAATAGAGATTGTCTCATCTGTGGATCTGTTGGGGCGGTATGCAAATTGGAGTGGGACTAGGGTTTTTGGGATGACGTGAGTGCTACGGGTCTGTAGTCATTTAGGCAGGTTACCTTAGTGTTCATGTGCACAGGGACTATGGTGGTCTGCTTGACAGGGACAGGTTGAAAATTACACTTGCCAGTTGATCAGCGCATGCTCGGAGTACATGTCCTGGTAATCCGTCTGGCTCTGCGGCCATATGAATGTTGACCTGTTTAAAGGTCTTACTCACATCGGCTACGGCGAGCGTGATCACACAGTCGTCCGAAACAGCTGGTGCTCTCATGCATGCTTCAGTGTTGTTTGCCTCGAAGCGCGCATAGAAGTAATTTAGCTCGTCTGGTAGGCTTGTGTCACTGGGCAGCTTGTGGCTGGGCTTCCCTTTATAGTCCGTAATAGTTTGCACTGCCACATCCGACGAGCATCGGAGCCGGTGTAGTAGGATTCAATCTTAGTCCTGTATTTACGCTTTGCCTGTTTGATGGTTCGTCCGAGGGCATAGCGGGATTTATTTTAAGCGTCTAGGTCAGAGTCCTGCTCCTTGAAAGCGGCAGCTCTACCCTTTAGCTCAGTGCGGATGTTGCCTGTAATCCATGGCTTCTGGTTGGGGTATGTACGTACAGTCACTGTGGAGACAACGTCATCAATGCACTTTTTGATGAAGCCGGTGACTGATGTGGTATACTCCTCAATGCCATCGGATGAGTCCCGGAACATATTCCAGTGTGCTTGCAAAACAGTCCTGTAGCTTAGCATCTGCGTCATCTGACCACTTCCGTATTGAGCGAGTCACTGGTACATCCTACTTTAGTTTTTGCTTGTAAGCAGGAATCAGGAGGATAGAATTATGGTCAGATTTGCCAAATGGAGGGCGAGGGAGAGCTATGTACGCATCTCTGTGTGTGAAGTAAAGGTGGTCTAGATTTTTTTTTTGTCTTGTTGCACATGCTGGTCGAAATTAGGTCAAACAGATTTAAGTTTCCCTGCATTAAAGTCCCCGGCCACTAGGAGCGCCGCCTCTGGATGAGCATTTTCTTGTTTGCTTATGGCTTTAGGGTTGAGTGTGGTCTTAGTGCCAGCATCGGTTTGTGGTGGTAAATAGACAGCTACAAAAAATATAGACGAAAACTCTCTTGGTAAATAGTGTGGTCTACAGCTTATCATGACATACTCTACCTCAGGTGAGCAAAACCTTGAGACTTCCTTAATATTTGATTTTGTGCACCAGCTGTTATTGACAAATAGACACAGACCGCCACCCCTTGTCTTCTGGAGGCAGCTGTTCTGTCTTGCCGATGCACAGAAAAACCAGCCAACTGTATATTATCCATGTCGTCGTTCAGCCACGACTCAGTGAAACATAAGATATTACAGTTTTTTATGTCCCGTTGGTAGGATAGTCTTGAACGGAGCTCATCCAGTTTATTCTCCAATGATTGTACGTTGGCCAATAGAATGGATGGTAGAGGCGGGTTACCCACTCGCCGGACTTGGGTCCCCTGTATCTGCGTCTTCTCTTCACGCGAATGACAGGGATTTGGGCCTGGTCGGTTTATCTGGAGTAAATACTTCGCGTCCGACTCGTTTAAGAAAAAATATTTGTCCAGTTCGAGGTGAGTAATCTCTGTTCTGATATCCAGAAGCTCTTTTCGGTCATAAGAGACGGTGGCAGAAACATTATGTACAAAATAAGTTACAAATAACGTGAAAAAACACAAAATAGAACAATTGGTTAGGAGACCGTAAAACAGCAGCCATCCCCTCCGCCGCCATTACACTCATTTCTCAAATCTGAGTGAGTGCCAGTCTGTTTATGTTATAATGTCAACTCCTTGTCACCTTCTCACCAAGGCAAATTCTGGGTATGTGTAAATGTAATTGGCAAATAAAGGTGATTCTGATTCCGATTGCCATGGCAAAAAAATGTTGGCTTGACAAGGAGCAATTGAGTTGGCAAGAGCACAAACAGATCTGGGATAATAATATATATAATATGCCATTTAGCAGACGCTTTTATCCAAAGCGACTTACAGTCATGTGCGCATACATTTTTACGTATGGGTGGTCCCGGGGATCAAACCCACTACCCTGGCGTTACAAGCGCCATGCTCTACCAATTGAGCTACAGAGGACCACAATTATCAGGCTACATGAAATCTGCTTTGTGGTGCAAAAATATCTAACAAAAATCTATGCCAGTGATTCTGTTTAATGTATTAGTCTAGCCACTGGGAGTAGAATAATCTGTCCTAGTCTATCAGACTGCAGTCTCAGTCTTTCAACATCACAAAACGCCCCTATTCTCATCCAAGGCTGCTCTTAATGTGAGATGACACCAGCAGCAAAAAGGTATAGACAAGTATGCCACTGTAAATGTAGGAATTAATTAATCATGATATAGAAATAACAGAATAAGAGTTTTTATAAAATGGTGGTATTACAAGG